GCCACTATGAAGAAAGAAAGGTTACCTACCTGTAACCATGGTTCTTCTAGTGGACCTCTGTGAATTCATACATCCCTCCCTTCCTCCCCTCTGTCCGTCATGCTGTTTAATATTAGACCTGTTCTACCTGACAATGGCGGACTTGAGAGGAACTGAAGGGAAGGTTGAGGAGGCAGCGCTTGTACCCTGGGGGAATATCTTATTTGTTACTCTTTTTTAAGCTCTAGAAATTTCCGAGATGTTCTGCGCAGGTGCAGAAAAAAACCATTTGTGTGAATTCACAGAGGTCCACCAGAAGAACCATGGTTACAGGTAGGTAACCTTTCTTTCCTTCCCCAGTGATCTTCATTTAAACCAGATGGCTGTGGCCTTGAAATCTAATAAGATAAGTAGCTGATAGGGATGGTTAACAGGGCTCCTCCACATTTAATTAGCAAGAGTTGGTTTCTGCATAGATAAATACATTGAGCATATCCTACCTTTGAAAAATACTTTGTTTTATTTTATTTGTATTTTATTGTATCAATATTTTATTTCATTTGTATCTGTTAATTCAGTGGCTCGGGAAGCCAAGATTTCATGACCCAAAAAGTAACTTTTTCAAGCAGTCTTAGGAATTTTATTCATTTCATCTCTGGCTAAGCCCTATACTAGTGAAACATAACAGAAATGGAATTGGGGTTGTGTAGGAAGGGTTTTTATATTTGAGAAATTAAGGGAGAATATCAGATATACATTTTTGCCCTGTAATTCAGATGCCAAATGTATTACTCTAAAAACTGTGGCAAAGGACTACAAAGATCCAAAGAGAATAACATGTGGCACAATTATGTTATTCATTATTATTGCAGTAGCAATTTAAACAGCTGCTTTATGTGGTCTCCACACCATCATCTAGCCTTCCATTTATTCCCATAACAACTTTGTAAGACAAGTTTGGCTGAGAGGCAATGTCTGGTCCAAAGGTGAGTTTTGTGACTGACCTGGGTTTCCCTGAGCCAAATCCAGTGCTCCTCAGCATTATGCAATACCAGAATACAGTATATATATATTTATTTGATATAGTATTGCCTAATTGTATAATATTATATGGTGCTATAGATCTCATGGTAGACAAGCAGTGCAACAATTAACCCGCATAATATGCAAATTAGGCTATCTGGATTTGCAGACTATGGCAACTCTACCGAGTTTGCTAGGAAAAGTTGAAGGAGGAGGCGGAGCAAACATGAGATGGCTTGACTTAATAAAGAGCCAACAGCCTTGCTAAAGGAGCCGTCTGGTTTGCAGGACCTTCTGGAATTTATTAATTCAAAGGGCCACCGTGCTTGCCAAACGCCTTGACGGCCCCTAAGCAAGCCGTAAACTGCAGGCGGAAGCAGCCTTTCCCTCAGGAGCCTCCCTTGCTTGCAAAAGACGGCCCTCAGGGAGCGCCAGGAGGAGGGCAGAGCCGTTCTCCCTCCCCTCGCCCATTGCCCGAGCGAGCAGGAAGCGCGTCCCCTGCGCGGAGAGCGTCCTTAAGGGGGAAGAGCGCGGGGCTGCTTTGCCAGAAGTGCTCCCTGAGAGGCTAACTTGCCACGCGCGCGCGCGAGATGACGCCTTGGAGAGATTGCAAGGTAATGGGGGGAGGGGTGTTATCGGGCAGGGGAGCAGCAACTGCGTATCGTGACGGGTTGCGGAGGGGCTCAGCCGTGCACCCCTGAAGTTACGTTTAGCCTGTTTACACCATGAACGCCCAAGTTTGCGGGGAAAATTCTTTTGGGGGGGGGGAAGCTGCCCGTCTTCCTTCGGCTGGTCCAAAGGTCCGTGGCTAGACCTGGGTATACTTGTGGGTTTGGACTGCAACTCCCGGAATTCCCCGGGCAGCGTAGCCAGGGGTTGTGCTGCAAGGGAACTCCGGGAGTTGTAGTCCAAGAGCACAAGCTCGAGCAAGTCTCATATGGCTGCTGGGACTATTGGCTATGATGGAAGGTGGCCCTGTCGGGGTTCTTCGTAAATTTCCCACAAGATATTGAGGGGCTCGGATGCATGCACTTGGTCTTCTACGAGAAGTAACGTGTGTGGCATGTTAGTTAAGGTTCTTGTGTAAGCGTGCCCTCTTGGTCAAGAGGCAACCGCTTTGGTGCAAACGAGAGTTAAGATAGCTGTTCCTTACACCCTCAAAGTACGACGGAGATGAATGAGAGATGTGGGAATAGGAGGACAGGATACCTGGAGATGGCGCCAAGAAGAGTTTGAGGTTGTAAGATGCCCATCTCAGTTGTTACCTGGGAGTAAATCGCAATGAATCAGAATTTGATTCTGAGGAGATGAAATGCATAGACTGTGTCCTTGGTTAAAAACAATCACTTCCCAGAAATTGTAGATCATTGTAGGTCTGAAGTGCGAGTTGTGTGATCAGGATCTTCTACAGAGAGAGGGAGAGAAAGAGAATATATACACACACACACACACACACACACACACACACACACACACACACACAATTTCCTTGCTACATTAAAAAATAAAAGACAGGTATAACAGTATAAAATCATATAGCTCACCCACTGCCTTTTTATTATATTTCTGTATGGTAAGTAAATGAAATTCTGTTAACTAGAAGATCAGAGAAGTGAAATTAGAATAAAAAGAAAACTGTAGTTAATCTTTTCATTCTGTATTCACCACCATGTAATAGCTTAGTGTTCTAGGTATCTGAGTGCAGAACCAGAGGCTGGAAGTTCAATTCTCCACTACACCTCCTTGGCAGATACTGGAGGATGATCCACAGGGTCCCTTCCAGCTCAGCAGTTCTAAAAAGATAAATGCTCCATGTTGATCTCCACCATATAATTGATATTCCCAGTTGCTATGTATGGATGTGAAAACTGAACAGTGAAAAAGCCAACAGAGGAAAAATATATGTTCGGAATACAGTGTTGGAAGAGAGGTTTATGTACACCATGGGTCACTGGAAAAAATAAATGGGTAGATGATCAACTCAAGCTTGAAATCTCTCCAGAAGCAAAAATGACTAAACTGGGGTGTGACGTTTACCCCGTGGCCCCTGCTTGTTTCACCAAACACAGAGATGACAAAACTATCTCAACACGCCCCTTGACATGCTGGCACCAGTTGATCTCTTGATCAAGAGATCAACTGAATGGACTACGGCTTGCTTAGGGGCCGTCAGGCCGTTTGGCAAGGACGGTGGCCCTTTGAATTAATAACTTCCAAAAGGTCCTGCAAACAAATGGACTAAGGTCCATTCAGTACAGTGGACCCTCGACTTACAGATGGCTCGACTTGCAGACTTTTCGAGTTACAGACTTCTCTGGCTGCAAAATTTAGATTCGACTTGCAGCCGGAGAATCGACTTACAGACCAGAAAAAACCCAAAATGGAACAAAAATAGAATAAAAACTGCCAGTTATGGGATTAATCGGTTTTCAATGCATTGTAGGTCAATGGAGATTCGACCTACAGACTTTTCGACTTGCAGCCACCGTTCTAATACGGATTAATTCTGTAAGTAGAGGGTCCACTGTACTGAACTTTTTAACAGAAACAGGTTTATTAATTACATGTGGTTTCAGGAATAATTCTTAAGCACATTTTTAAAGTTACACAAAGCTTCAGTATTTTACTTTTATCTCTTGTATCCTAATTAATGCAGGTCACACTATGACTGATCACTCTTTAAACACTCTCTGCCTCAAACCCCCAAACTCCTTCTCTCCTCTCTGTTGCCGCAGCACTGGAGGACTGACCTCTTGTTCTCTCCCAGGTTCCTCTTCCGCACTCCCCTTGGCCCAGCCTCACAACCATATTAACATACAACCCATGAATAATGCATAACTTAGGGTGGACGCCACATTCCTCCCCCCTTAAACACAGTATGTTTGTTTAGGAGGGGAAACCTAGCAGTTTGCCCTCATAAACAAATACCTAAGTACATGTGAATATAACAATAATTTACCAGTACTTATGCATGCCTTATAATATCATTTTCTCTCTATTATTATGTTTACCAAATCAAAATTACTACTTTAAACATTCACATTCAAAACAAACAATATAGTTACAACATTTCCATTAACCACATTAATACCCATTGCATTACATCACCTTTGCATCAATAAATACATACCAACCTCTTGCATTACCTACATTAATACAAATTACATTACCTCCACATCAGTAAGGCTACTCACCATTATTTTTATCATCATTCTACACCTCTGAATTCATCAATATCCAAACTTTGCATTTTAATCATATTTCATAACTCTTACATAAACAGAACATTTAATAAAACATTACAAATTTTGTTTATCCACCCATTAGTCATTTGGCCTTCGAGGCAAAGTATCAGCATCCACGCTGTGAGTCCCTTTTACACTGCAGATTACAAAGTCAAAGTCTTGCAGGTTCCGTGTCCATCTTGCAAGCTTACTATTAGTGGATTCCTTAGTTTGTAGCCACACCAGAGGGAAAGGGCCAGTGCAAAGGACGAATTTCTTTCCCCAAATGTAGGGTTTCAGTCTTTGCAGTGTCCAAATAATTGATAGGCACACCCTCTTGATGGCAGACAAATGTCTCTCACCAGGTCGGAATCTCCTGCTGATCCAAGTCACTGGATGTAGACTCCCGCTGTCATCCGCTTGACACAGCATGACTTCCAGACCCACACTTGACACATCGATGTACACAATGAACTCCTGGTTGTACTCCGGTGTAGGACTGGTTTTGAAGTCCGCACTCTCTTCCAGTGATCAACAGGCACTTGGCATTCTGATGTCCACTGGATTTCCTCCACTTGCCTTTTCCGGGTGAAGCTTGCTTTCTTTCTAGCTCGTGGCTTGACTTTCTCAGCTGGGGAGAGGGTAGGCAGTTCCTTCTCGTCCTCCAGAACATCTGTGGATGCGTCCTTCTTTGAGATTTTATTGCTTACACCTTCCTCCTCACCAACAAATTCACCCACGGGTCCTTTTGTTGCAAAGTTCTCTCTATGTGGGGAACCACTCTCATGGGTCACCTCCAAATTCACAGGCAGGTTTCTTTTAAGTGCAATCTCAAACACTTGATTTATTTTAGATACACTGAGATTTTCATCTCGTTCGATTTCTTTATTCTTTGGTTTGCTAGGTGGGGGTTTGCTTTGCAAGGTTTTAAGTGCTTTTGCAGCTGCAGAGCGACTAGATTCCTTAGCCCTCCAGTGCTGCGGCAACAAATCAACAGGTTCTGACCCTGCCAATAGCAGTTTACTCCCTTCTATGGGTCTCAGCCCCACTTCTTTGTCCTCAGGACAGAATGCTGTTTCCCGGGCCTTTTCATCACACCAGCCCCTCTGTTTTTCTTGAGCATCCCCCAAGCTTTGACCAGCTATCTCTAAGGACTTTTGCAAATCTACGCATTGGCAAGGGGTTGAGATCACTGATGTGCACAGCTTAGCCTTTGTCTTGTCAACCCCAGTACCACTCATTTGGCATGTATTGCACGTCTGACAAAATTGCTTAATTTGCTGACCCATTCCTGCCTAGTAAAAATTTTGAGCAACCCTTTTATTTTTATGGGAGACAGTCATGTGTGCTCCAAACACATCCCTATGAGCTTTCTCCAAAATCTCTATTCTTCACAAGGATAGGTAGCTGTTTGTGGGCTCCTCTCCCTCTGAGGTGCTTTTAAAACCTCTCTATATGTCAGGTTTTTATCATCTATAATCTCCAGGTGCTCAGGGGTCAGTGGAATGGGATTCTCATTAACTTTTTTAATACAATCATTTAAAGTAATATCTTCTTTCTACTTCTCAATACAGAGAGGTATTATTAGGATTTGTCAATATGACCACCTCATCCATTTCTGCTACCTCAGGGTTTTCCTCTAAACTGGGGCATCCCTGGTTTGATTCAGAAGTTAACAATTCAGAAGTTAACAATCCCTCAGGAATTGTTAATTGCTCTCCCTGGGAACATGTTACTACAAAAGCACTCTGCACATTCTTAGTGAGATCTAATCCAATCAAACAAGGTACGGGTATTTAATCAGAAATTGCTACATCCCAAATTTGAACCCAGTCTATCTTGACTTTAGCCATAGGTAAAATCACTGGAGTAGAACTTATTCCCTTGATAGTAACAGTTTGATTTGGAAATATTTGTTCTTTAGGAACCACATCAAGGTGACACAGGGTTATTTGGGAACAGATATCAGCAACCTCCGCATAAGATTTCTCATTAATAAGAACTTTCGCACCAGGATTCTGTAGTAAAATATTATCTGCCTTTATAAGGAAGCACTGAATGACTCTGGCTAGTGGCAGATCAGAATTTTCTGTCATGCTAGTTGCAATGGAGACAGAACCATTGTTACAGCCTCCTTCAGTGGTTTCCACTGGTTTTATGCAGTAAACCTTTTTGGTCTGACTATCATCTTTACCATTTTTATTTTTTTGTTCTTCAAACAATTTGATTGAATATGCCCAAACTCATCACAGTTATAACACTGTCTGTAAGCCTTTTGATCATACTGAGGAGATCTGTCAAACTTTTCCTCAGGGTTCATTCACTTCTGCAGACTAGGCCCTGGCAACTTAGGTGAGGTGCTAAGCTGGCCATCATTCCCTGATATTTTA